AGAAAGAAAGAAAGAAAGAAAGAAAGAAAGAAAGAAAGAAAGAAAGAAAGAAAAAGCTTTTAAACATCCTCCTTCCACAACCTGCTGCCATATATGTTTGGGCTCCAACTCTTAGGTATGCATCCCAACATGTGTCACCAGCATGGTGCTCAGAAAAGTCTGCTTCTCTGCCTGATGGTGAAAGTTGTAATGTCCCATTTCACTCCCTGAGTCTGTGTTCATTGGAGAGGCAGAACTTCCTTTTGTGGGCCTAATGTGATTCCCACATGGGCACAGCAGCAAAACTCCCAGGCCCATATTGCTTAGCCCAAACTCCTTCATAGATTCCTCAGATGGAAGCAGGTGGATTTAGGCTTGATCTGTCTTATGATTGGCCTGGTTTCATAACAGATCCAACAATCCTTTTCTCCAATGTTCATATGACAGCTTCATTCATCTTTGAATGAGTTGAGCATTCTCTGTTTAATGCTTCCCATATTTTACAGGTCAGTGAGAACTTGCAAATGGAGCTTTATTTATTACTTACTAATCTGAAAGGCTTCTGTTTCCCATCTGCCCCACAGAATTGTAGGCAGCTGATAATATGGATAAAACATCTGTCTGTCTGTCTGTCTGTCTGTCTGTCTCTGTCTCTCTCTCTCTGGGATGGTTTAAAAACGAAGCTTGAAATCCTAAAGAACACATTCAAATATTTAAAATGTTAAACTGTAGCTGTTGAAAAACATCTTCACCAACTTTTGGATACCTGTTAATGAGGGTAGATGTTAATGCTTATGCTGAATTCTCAGTTAGTCAAATCTTAGGAATTAATGGGATGTATTATTCTTTCACTTCTTCTATTATAGCTAAACCACCAGGTTTAGGTCACAACAAACCTTCCTTTTTTAAAAATTAAGGATTCCCACAACATAAAATTATTTTACCTTTTTTTCCTTAAAATTTCAGCATAAAATTTACACATACTGTACATTGTAACTATCTCTGTCTACCTCTATCTCTATCTATCTATCATCTACTGTATATCTCTCATATTTCTGTCTCTGCCTTCCTTGCGCATTTTCTTTTCAGGATATGTTTGAGAAGTGTGTGCTGATTCCAGAGGTATGAAAGAGTGGTGTTTAGTGCAATTCCATGTTATTTTCTTTTGAATTTTCTCATCTGATTTTTTAAAAAGTACATTGGTACATCTCTTGTGCTGGAGTGTTACACTTAAAATTCTTCAAACAGACTCCTACCTTCTCATTTCAATAGGCTAATATTGTAGTCCTTCCTAAGCCTTGCAGAAGTCCTATTATCCATTCCAAAGATAAATCTATAAATATCTACAACCTTTGCTTGTAGATTATTGCTTGTGAATATTGTGCCTCCAGTCCTTTGAGAGGGCTCTCTAAGGTCTGATACAAGTAGATTCTTAAGTGGTGTAATTTTGATTCAAAATAGACAGAACAGATCAGGAACTTACTTTCTTAATCTAATGTTATTAATGCATGAGCTTGGAAGCCATTCTGTTATTCTATCCACTGGAGTAAATCAGAGTTGATGTCATTGGGTCTCAGTAATCATATCAATATGTTTAGAGAATGGGGTTTTATGTAGCGCTCTGATTCATTTTTTTCTTCATCTCAAGATTCCTAGGAAACTTCCTCAGATTTATTTCCTATTTTAACCCAAATGAAAGAACATCTAGTCTGAATTCCCTTCAGCTTTTAGGGCATGTTAAATTTGGAAAAGATTTATTTCAAGTCTGACTGATACAGTATGTCAGCAGGTTTTTCTCTTTATATTCCTTTACATATTTTTCAAGTAAATTTAGCTTCTATTGATTTTTCCTTTAGGTAGAAGCATTCTTGGAGATTTTCACTACAAAAATTACAGTTATCTATTGGAAAATTTAACTGTGAATTTAATTTAATAATATATTTTAGATGCATTATTAGCCATTTCTTTTAGCTTTGTTCTGGTTTGATGAAGGAGATCAAAAGTCTATTAAAAGGCTATTATTTAGCCTTACTGAAATTCTGGCAAATATTGTGATTTCTTGCTTTGTGGGGGAATTAGTTTTAAGCCTGTTCCTAATACCATATGACATCTGTAGAAAATATTGGGTTGCAGATTCAATGTTGACTATTTACTGATGAAAATGTAATATATGCATCTATTTAAAAGATTCATATCACTGCCTATGTTATGAACCACAACCCTGGGTGGCTCTCAAAACAATAAAAACAGTAAAAACAAACAAAACACACAAACAACAATAAAACTTCTGGTGCCCAGGGCAACACTTTCTCACACATTAGCTACCACCTTTCCCCACCCTCATTCCACCCCAATGCTTGTTGCAATAGGCAGCTCCTCAAGGCCTTCTGGAAGGCAAGGAGAGTAAGGGCCTGCCAGATCTGTCGAGAAAAGGTGTCCCACGGGGCCAGGGCAGCTACAGAGAAGGCATCCTTCCTAGGTCCCACCAGATGACAACATTTAAAGGAAGGGGCCTGGAGCATGCCCACCAAGATAACCATCCTCCTCCTCTTTGTGAAATGGCTCTTTCATAATATTATTACCTTCAGCTAACTGAAGGAAAATACAAGGGATCCAGTTTAAAGCTCCCACCCCAAATAATTTTCCCAGGGAAGACAAAGGCTTAGTTCCACTATATGGTGATGAATTAGGTAAGTACCACTTTTCACAGATGCTGGCCAAGGGAAACTCAACTGTCAGCTTAGCCATAAAAACATTCACAAAACCAAGGAATGATAAGGTAGAAAAAAGATGTTGGGGGATGAACAGAGCTCTTGGAGAGCAAAAGAAGATAGTCCCCTAGAAAGAAATCATGTTCATGGAATATTGCCTCCTTTTCTCTCAAAACCCTATTGTTTTGATAGTCAAAAACCAAAGAAAGTAAAGAATGTTGAATAAGAATTGGTTGCAATTTTCTTGCTGTAAGAAATGCAACATAGGTGTGAGAAAATTAACTCCCACCATGGTCTGAATCTGTCCTTCTATTGTTATATATAGGGTTAACATCCATGATTGCTAACATACGTTTAGTCTGATCATTGTGAGTGAAGAAAGCATATTTTCCTTTGTCAGTAATCCCAGAAGTAAGAATTAATCAAGACCTTAAGATACTCATAAGGATGAATCACCATCAATGGAATAATACAGCTACACTTCATAAAGGGGAAAAACCAACAACACTTGTCAATATGTGTTACTTGCAAAATTTTTAATTTACTTTTTTTTCCAAGAAAGAGTCAGGAAAAGAAGAGTTTTCAGCAATCTGGTCAATACTTTTGGAAATTCTTTGTTTTTATAATTTTTACAATTTATATATTTCTTTTAATTTTTTTTCTTCTACAATTGTTTTACACTTTATGTATTTCTTCAGATTTTCCATATCCTCTTTCTCCAATATTTCTAGGGTATGTCATATAGTTAGCAGCATCATATGAATTCAAAATTTCCTATATGTTTAATTTAATAGACAAATACTTTAAAAACTATATTCGGCTGCATGCAAATAGCTGTGTCTAAGCAAGCCCTTTGGAAGAAGTGTTTTGGACAGTGGAGGGTAAATGGGACAAATATCTTGTTCCAGTTATTCAATCCATCTTTAGTGGATTTAGTGGATTTAGGACTGTGTCAGGGGCTGCTCCTGCTGCCTCTTTATGCTTAGCACAGCCACTTTGCAGCAGCACATTTCCCACAGTGCACTGATGCACCCATGCTGGCACACGCAAGCAGGGAGTGCAGCAGTCCCCAAAGCAGCCTTCTTACTCTGGAGGAAGATGATATTGTTTTCACAGTTATGAAGGACAGCAAAAAGCATCATGA